CTGCTGAGATGTTTTGTAAGACTGGAACCGCTAACATACAAATCAAAGGGAGACATTTGTTAGGATTGGGCAAGGATAAGGGGTAAATATGGCAATTCACCATGGAGAAATAAAAAAGACAATAAATTAGCCCGTCAAAGGGGCTGTAGTGAAGAGTGGGAACAGCTTTATACAATGTTTGTCTAGTCGATAGCATCATTTACTATATAAATAACCGTCTATGTGAGCTTCTTATTTCTTCCCACACACATTTTCCACAGCTGGCAAGTATGTTTGTTTACGTATCTATAAACCATTTTGCAAATACTGCTCTCAAGCTGCCCATGTGTCAGAATTATAAATGCACCCTGTTACAAGTTTATTTGTAAAATTATCCATATGAACATAAAGTTATATGTCTAGCTTTGTGGCTTATTTTTTGACAGTTAAAAATGTGTAGATCATTTTTTTTCCTCAGTACTTTTTCAGTTTTCATGCTTTTATTTTTAGGCAGAGGGAATTGCCAGAGTGTCATCTAGTGCACTCTACTGGCCAGATACACCTTCACCAAGTCTGAGGGTCTTGCTGGCTCAAGCAGGCTGGAATACTTCATATTCCTTTCTGTGTTAGAAAATGCTGTTTTCTGTAAATTAATGCAGGTTTAGAGGAGGGATTTGAACCAGGCTGCTTATGACCAATAAGGCTATGAGTTGTTCAGGATACTCCTCTTTTTCCCTCCTTTTTTTTTGTAAATCCCTCTCTCTGAGTTTCTCAGTTTCTTTCTCTTTCTCTCTGTTTCTCCAGCTATTGTAACATACCCCACTTTCCCACTTCACCTCCCCAGATTTAAGAGACTTTCCTTTTCCTGGTCTCGTTTTATTTCCTATATTAGAATTATACATTTGGAAGACTTGTTTAATATTTTTTAAATGACAGGTTTGCTTATGATGATAAGACCTCCCTTAAAAATGGATTTCACTAGGTGAAAAAGGCTTAACAATTTCAAGCTTATTGTTAGGAAGAGGCTATCAAATTATCAAAGAAAATTCTTAATTGTAGTGTTTTTAAATTTAAAAGAAATAAGCAAGTTCTTAAAATCCAAGCTTTTGTGCCAGCTGTTTAGGAGAAACAATATTCAGGATCTTTGAGCCTAAGTTTTTTTGTTGCTCTCAAATTCCTTTACTATAAATGTGCATACTCTAACAAATTTCTTAAGCGGTCTCTAACAAATTTCTTAAGTGGTCTCCAGAAAATAATGTGAAAGCAATGGTGGCACTTTGATATAAACCAACTATTCTGAATTGAAAACATCAAATACTGCTAAATGGAGATCAGCATGTTATTCATGTTCTTTCCAGTTAGTTCACTCGCATTTAATGTTACAGCTCTCCCATAAGGATCACAGGGATGCCAGAATCCTGCCTTTTAGTGCTGCATAAGTATGGGACCAGGACCTTTGCTGGTATGGGGCTATTCTGTCAATGCCACAGCTGTAGGCTGACACTAAAAGAAGCACAAGTGCCTCAGAAATGACTTCCCTATGAAAGATGGATGTTATTTTTGTTTTTGCAGAGTTAGTATCGATCCTTGCATCACACTGGCACTCCCACTTTCACATGGTGGGAAATGGAATGGAGGCTGCGAACTGTGGAAATAAAAGTTGTGTCCTTCACATATGGTGACACTTGATTGGACTTTTGCTCCCCAAACCTGAAGGCTTGTTGGTTGCTTCCTGACACCTTAGCATACTTCACACCATGACTGGGTTTTTTGGACACTTGAGAGATGTGCACCAGTATCAGGAAAACCGCAGGAATAAATCTTCACAAAAGTGTTATCTTTTGAACCCAAAGGGATATTTTTGAATGTTGTTGTAAATAAAGTAAATTGCAAATTGGAAGGATCTATACCAAACATTCTAAAAAAACAGTCTTATTTTGAGTTTTTGCTGATGCAGTATGAAGTAGTCAGACTGACTTCATATCTTGTTGAAAGAACTTTGTTGAAGATTCTGCCCTCAAAGTAATCTTCATGGTAGAATGAATGTGAATAATCAAGGTGTAGTGATACTTCCTGGGCTAATATTTTGTTATCTGCCTTGGTAAAAACATATCTAGTTCTCTTTGCATCTCAGAAAGGTAAGGCGATGCTTCCAAAAGGAATTATGGGGTCCTTAATTTGATCAGTCTGCTGAATTTTAGTTTGGTTAATTGTTTCAATTTCATTTAATACAATGCATTATTCTTCATTTCCTCTCCTAACATGCAATGCAGATTTCACACGCACTACATGAACAGTTGTGCTTCATACTATAGGCAGATGTGCTTTTAGAGCCCTTAAGGTGGAAAGTATTATATATGTACAAAAAGATATCACCTGCTCAGCAAAACTTTAAACAAAATAATATCAATAATTAATAAAAATAATATCAAATGTCTATACTTAGAGTTTTCCACTGTCTTACTTCTCATTAAAGGCATAAATGTTGTCAGAGTGGGGAAGCTCTGAAAATAGAGAAAGGGTTATTTTCACTGGTCAGACTTGGAGTGGCTTTTCTGATTAATAATATAAGATAATAATCTCAACCTGTTTTTGACCCGTGAGCAATGATACTGAATGATGATACTGTTATAGCTGAGGTCACGGTTTCTTAGCTTCATCTTTAATCTCTCTGTATCCCATGACTTTGACCGATGCTGGCAGGTATGATGGTAGTGTGTTGCTTGCTCTCTAGGATTGGAGACTGCAGCTATAAGCAACTTCTTTTGCTGCTCTCACTCTTCATCTGGTGTAAGAAGGAAATGTGAATACATGATGGCCTAAATTTACTTTCAGTGTTTGCCAGAATGTAACTGGAATATATTTGAAGATTAAAAGAGGGAAAATGTCTAGTTTTGGTAGAATGTTGGCCTGATTGTACCTTCAACAAAAATAACCCAATGTATGTGGGCAAAGCACAGAACAAGTGTCTACTTTCGCACAAACATGTTTTATAAATTGTGCTGGTAGTTATGACATTAACCTTTCTGATGTCATAGGTAAGAGGCATTATTGGATGCCCTCCCCTCAAATTTCATGCAGCTAGACAGCTGACCCAAAGAGAACAAAATGGAGCAGCTTAAAATGGTAAATGTAGTAACCTGTCCGGTGCCAGGGTAACACCTTAATGCTGGATGGCTTCAGTGGGTTCTCAAATCACTACATACAGTTTCTTTGTTAATATGGACTCTTCTAGCATTTTAAATTAAATTTTGCCAGCCCAAGCTCCCTGAGAGATAGCCTCCTTCAGTGAAGGCTGATAGTGGGTGAGTGGAAGCTGTGATCAGTACCAGAGCAGCAAAGGAGAGCCCAGAGAGCCGTGTGAGTGTGCAGGGGTGAAGGTGAGGTAAGGGAGGGAGGGCTACGCAATGAAGAGTGATGAGGCTTAAGACAACAAACCTACATTTGATGCACTGCAGAAGTATATTGTCTTTTGATCTTGCAGGTATTTTCGGCGAGATGTTTTTTATACTTCTACTACTTGCCAATAATTTTTCTGGAATACATGGAGTTCAGTAAACCTGAAAATATCCACTGCTTTTTGGGATGTCAAGTTCATTTAGTTGAAATTCAGAAATTTCAAAATGCTTTAAGCTAACAAATAGCAATTTCCTCGTCATCTCACCTGAAGGTGATGCAGACGTTTGAAACCTCTGTGCCTACTGCATGTATCAGAAATGCTAAACATTTCATCTTGATTTCTCTTTTTCCTGGAAAATTTGGAAGCCTTGCATTTACCACTTCATATTCTCTGCCAAGTTCCTTTCAAATTTTTTTTTTCTCCATTTTTGTCTCACACGTTTATTATATGGTGACAAATGCAGTTTTCTTCTGACACCACATAATAGATGTGTGAAACATACACACATGTTCTAGTAAGAGACTGCTCTTTATTTCCTCACTCCAGCTGCAAAACATGAGTCAGGGTTAGAAAAGTTGTACCTCTGTCAGAGATGTGTAATCCGCACTCTCAAACTTTCCTACATAGAAAATGGAAATCTTGTTCTTCTCAGCTTTTCCTCTTCCCTAAGCACATCTTTTCTTCATTTTATAATCACCATTCCCTTGTATTGATTATATTTACTCACTTGAGAGACTGATGCTCTCATTACCAGGAAAAAAAGCCCCTCCAGCTCCTAAAAGATGTATACCAGCACTCTGGCTGTGGGAGGTACAGCAGTTTTACAGAAAGCATCCTCCTACTACTCTGGCTTTAATGCAAAGAAGAAACAAACATTACTAGTCCATTTGCTGTGAATTCCAAGTACTATTTTCTCCATGTCAAGTGACATCTGATGTTCTGCTGTATAATTGTAGTTAATGACCAAACAGCCTCTCAACAAGACTCTGGTGACGTAACATGCCTTCTTTATATATACCAACCTCAAGTGTTCTGTACACTTCTGCAGTGTGTAGGGGGCCTCAGTGAAATACAAAGTCAGGCAGATCTTTGTGAACTAAAGTGGAACAAGCCCCATGTTACAAGTTAAAACAAAAGCAAGCAAACAAGCAAGCAAAAAGAGAAAACTGAACACATTGTCACTTCCTAATGGATCCAAACAAGCTAGGAATTTAATGTGTGAGGCAGTCATTATGCAGTTACCCATGTGTGTCTGGAAACAGCAGGAACTATGGTGCTTCCACCTTAATCATAAACAGAGTTTTGTATTAATTTTTTTTCTAAATCATTTTATCCTACAAGGTCCTAGTGGTTGAGTTGCTCCTTCAATAGAATGACAAATGACTGGGTAACACGCTGTGAAAATTTTAGAAAATGAGAAATGCTATTCCATTTTCCAAACAGAGCAGAAACAACACTAATTCCATTAGGCAAGATGGAACAGACAGTTAAAGTGGGCATGCTTTTAACTTTGAAGCTAACCAGGTAAGTGATGTCTTTTTGAAGTGCAATGACTGTTAAAGTGATTCCTTTAACGTGAAGCAAACCCACTGATTTTCCTTTCTAAAATTAAAGCATTTACCTTATACAAAGTACAAGAAATGTTACCTGTTGCCTCCACCATTCCTTCTAGGATTACAACAATTTCTAGCTCCTCTTTGGGCAACTGGGCTTTGGAAATCTCCCAGAAAGGACTCTGCTGGTTAATTTCATGGCTGATGATCAGTGGTGAAACCAAAAAGAGACGATCATCCCCTGTGTAATAACCTACGTTGATATCTGTCTGGTTGAGTGGTATAAATTCCCCCTCCTTTGTCTGTTTGGATTTGATCAACTTGGCTCGTATTGATGCCTCTACAATGTGTGAATTCCTAAGGTCTCCTACTCGGAACATCAGACACAACTTTCCATCCCGCATGGAAATAACTGCATTTGTAGAAAAAACCAAGGTTTCTGCCCTCTTCTTGGGTTGGGATATTTTCACAAACATGCAGCCAACCATGAAAGCGTTGACGATAGAACCTAAAACAGACTGCACTAAAAGCAGAACAATTCCCTCGGGACACTTGTCCGTGATGACCCGGTAACCATACCCAATGGTGGTTTCTGTCTCGATTGAGAATAAAAAGGCTGAGACAAACCCATTGAGGTTGCTGACACATGGGGTCCACTTGCTGTCCCCTATATGATCCATATCTCCTCGCACGTAGGCAATTAGCCACCAGATCATTCCAAAGAAGAGCCAGGTCACAGTGTAAACCATGACAAAAATCAACAGGTTGAACCTCCACTTGAGATCGACTAAGGTAGTGAAGATGTCAGTCAAGTAACGGTAAGTCTCTCTGACATTCCCATGGTGGACGTTGCATTTCCCATCTTTCCTAACATACCTCTGGATTTTTCTCTTGGCACATTCTTTGTTTATATTTTTTGGCAGATCCTCTCTAGCTTGTTTGGGCAACTTTGGCTGATGAATAGTGACAGGGCTCTCTATGTCCTGCTCCATTGAGTCTTCTTCCAGTACGTTAGCTGCCATTGAAAACAAACAAACAAGAAAAATGCAGGCATTATTTTTCTCATTATTTCTTTAAGTCAACACACAACTTCTTCCTGTGTTACTGGCATGAAATTGCTATTAATCAATAAAATTATCATCCTTGTTCTTTGCTCACAACACAAAAGTCAAATGATGCCAAGCATCCTCAATTTATTGCTAAACACAAATACTTTGAAGGAAAACTCTAATTTCCTATCTATCAAGTCATTCTTTATACACCCATATTTAAATTCTGCAAGATGTGCTTAAGCAGATCTTTCTTCCCCCCGTCCCCCTTTACAGTTTAATAAATGGGATTTCTTATGCACCAAGAAAGATCTTCAGAGAGATAGCAGATATAAATGAGGAAATGGATTCGCTTGGGGCTTTCAGTCAACAACATGAGCAGAAAAAATGAGCAATTGTTGAGCGATTTTTTCTATCAATTGCATTGCTATGGGGAAAGCATTAAATAAGCATAAGGACTTTTAAGAAAAGCAACAGTTTTTAGAAAGAACCAATCCTACTCTTGCTGAAGGAAAGGCAGGCTACAGTGTAATAGATACCAAGAGCAATTCAAGAATATTTCCGTAGGAAATCAATGTCTCACTGATACTGAGACAGGGAATTGTGTGTCCTTCTCCCAGTAATGTAAAACATACAGTACTTCAGAACATGATTTCATTTCAATTCTGTATGCCTGTGGCCTTTAATTCAAGTGTACCCTTTTCTCTAATGCTATGGGCCTACACATCGTTCCTCCATAAGTGTCTTAGAAGAATTTAACACCCAGAAATTACAGTAACTGGCTTTTTTTTTTTTCAGTTTCCCAACTTCTTGAGATAAATAGCTTCGTAACATTTATGTGCAAGAAAAAAAGAGTTTAGTGAGGAGGAGAGTAGTTTAATCAAATGTGTTTTACATGAAGCTGAGGACGTGGTGAGGTCTGGGGTAACTTTTGTCTTTTACTGGAAACCCTTCTGCAATCTGGGGCTTATTCCCACCGGAATTTCAACTCCTGAACTTCTAAATTTCTCCCTTCTTGTTAACTGCTATCATTCGGCGGACAGACTGTGAAAGGAAAAGGCTTCTGCTGGCTCTACCTAGATGCTTGGCACTGAATTAGTAGCACCAATGTGACATTGTACCATTGGTTTGCAGAGATGCTCTTCCTGAACAGTCGTGTGTTGATCTTCATGTTGTCGGTGCACTCTGCAACAGCCACAGTTTACATTAATGTGCTCTGGTAACTGGTGTGCAGGACCATGAGTGAGCTGCCCCGTCCTGCTTTGAGTGATGGCCTTCAAGCTGAGAGCTGGGAGCAAACAGCTTGGGTTGGGAAGCACTTAATTTCCATGAGCTCTGGTTGCCTCTGAGTACCTCTTGCTCAGCTGTGAAACAGAGGCATAAACCCATCAAAGCTCCTGCTTGGCACAGCAGTCATAGAATCATAGAATAGAATCAAAGAATGGTTTGGGTTGGAAAGGACCTTAGAGTTCCAACCCCCCTGCCATGGGCAGGGACACCCTCCACTAGACCAGGTTGCTCAAAGCCTCATCCAGCCTGGCCTTGAACACCTCCAGGGACAGGGCATCCACAACTTCCCTGGGCAACCTGTCATCCTGTCTCTGGCATCCCATGGGCTTGCGTGTCTCTGCCCAGCACTGGCCTGGGCAGCAGACCCAAACCCTTTTGTCTGGAGAAGCTACCAGCCAAGCCCTTGTCCAGAGAGGGTTGCACAAGGGGCAGCTCTTGGTGGGCCAGTATGGTGTGAAGAGCATTTCAGTCTCTCACTCTTTGAAACATGTGCTACATAGCAGATCATTTGTGGAGTCTCATGGCACCTGTAGCTTTTTCGAGATATGCAAGCTCATCCCTGTGGAGGAAGATCACAGACCCTTGTAAAGTTTTAGGGGTGACTGAAATACCCATGAAAAACCACGAGTTGCAGACTGGTTGTCTCTCCTTCTGGCCAGCTCCACTGAGAGCCAAGCCTCTGTTCAGCCCCAAAGCTTTTTCTGTGTTAAAAGAAAGGCTCAAAGGCCAACAGTAGCACGGCAACCTGATAGCAGTTCTGGGTCCAAAGACTATGCGCTCCATCCTGTCCCACTTTTTCAGTTTGCTGCCGTGTCTAAAGAGACCATTATTCAGGCTGGTGGTAGTGGCAGCACTGGCAGTCATGTCGCAAGGCAGTCAGTTCTGAATGAACTTACCCCAGTTGGTGACAGTGTGCCTACTTGCATTATCACTAGTGCTATGCAATGTATGGCAAAATAAACACAATAAAAAGGCATTGCAGGAACCTTGTGAGGCAGACTTGAGCCAAAGCCAGAAAATTTGAAGTTAAGGCTTCACAGTTTATGCTTAAGTCTCTATTGTGCCTAAGGAAATTTCTGTCCGCAGGAGCTATCACATCACTGCAGTAATAGAACGCTCAAATACTTACAAACAGCCTTTGAAGGCTCTGGCTTTTGAGGCTTTAATGGACTGTATGTTAGACTAGTAATGCTGGTTTAATGTGGTTCATTATCTTTAAGCTATTATGAATATTTTGCTTTCCTCTCCCAGTTATAGCCTGGCACGAACACAGAGGCAGGGTGCAGGTGTGCTCTGTTGCCTTTGAGAATATACCTTAGTTCTGACCTTGCTGTTAAAGGCAACCATTTCCTAGACCTCCCTGCCTGAGCACCTCTTACGAGAAATGTCAAAGTGTACTAAAAACTGTAACAGGGCTGGGAGAGGACGCAGGTGCTGATTTTATTACCGGCATTAGGAGAAATCTGAAGGGATGTCCCCACCCAGGGATGCCTACCAGTCACACACTGCACCCGTCTAGTCTGCTTTGCATACAGTGTTTATTTCCTACAGAAGTACTTGCTAGCAATGAGGCACCTTTTATTGACAACAAATTTTAGTGATGTTTTCAAAATGCTTTGTGTTGATTAAGTCCTTATGGATCATAACCAGCCTTTCCTGTCTTTTACAGTACATGAGCTGACCCACAAGTAGAGGTAAGGGCCACACTTTCTCAAGTGGCCGTAGCTTTTGTAGCAGGAGCAAGGTACCTGCTGTGCTCCTCAGCACATGGTGGTGGGCTGTCACTGTCACTGTAAGTGGACTTCAGAGACCTGCCCCTTCTGACATGGGAGGATTTTTCTTAATCTTGAGAGGTTGCACCAGAGCTGAATACCGTCTGGATATGTAAAAGCGCAGCTTTGGACAACCAAGCCCAGTGACTGATTTATAAGGTATGTCTCTCTCAGTATAGCATCTTGCTAACATTCTTGCAGACATTTTAATCTCCCTGGGGGCATCTGGCCATTTTGTAAACTCTTCAGGCTCTTTCTAGTACTGTCATTTCTCAACTCTCAGGCAGTCTCTGAGATGAAAAAATAAAGTCAAGTTTTTAGTTTTTTCTCTTTATGCAAGATGCCCTTTT